CAGGGAAGCCCCAGATTCTCTCCTGACTGTCTCCTTCTTGCCACTTAGGTGCCAGCGCCTTAATCTCCAAGAGTCAGAACCCCTCACAGTCCTTCTCCATCTCATTATCCTGTTGTATTTTTGACTGACAGCCAGCAGTCAGAGAAGGGAGTGCTTCCTTTCTGCTTCCTTTCTACTCTTACTTCCCCATATTTCTAAACTTGCTTTCTGACTCAAGTGTTGAAGTTCAAGGCAGGACTTAGTAAGTTCAATGTTTTCTCTTTCTCTTCTGGACACTTCCCTGAGTTCTTTGGAGATACTGCTTGTGGTCTTGTAACCTGGAGTTCCCTTAACATAAGTGAATGTATTTCTATTGTGGCAGTGTATGGGAACCCTCAACGTGGCCTCATTGCCTAGCTACAACAACGAAAAAATCCCAAGCCAGTCTCCTTTTCCTGCTCTCTCAACACATTTTCAGACAAGCTTTGGAAGGCTGCCTTGCTGCCCTCAGATAGCCTCATTATATAAGTGATGAACCTTTTCATACCCCTTTGGTGTGGTGTCATTGGTCTTGACATTGGAACCAAATTTTGGGTAAGGGAGTCCCTCTTGCAAGGGACCACAAAAACTGGTGCAGCAGGCTGGGTGACCACATTATTTATTTTGCTTGATATTAGTATAGCCATTCTTATAGCTCTCTTACGGTTTCTGTTTGCATAATATATCTTTTTCCATCCTTTTACTTTCAATTTATTTGTTTCTTTTGATATAAAGTATGTCTCCTATAAGTAGCAGAAAGTTGGATCTTGTTTTTGTTCTTTATATCCAATCTGATAATCTCTTCCTTTTGATTAGATTGTTTAGTTCATTCACATTTAACGTTACCATTGATATAGTTGGACTTACGTCTGACATTCTGATTTTTTGGTTCTCTGTGTCTCATGTCTTTTTGCTTGTTGTTTTTCTTCTATGTCTCCTTTACTACTTTCTTTTTTTTAAAAATGGACTTTAGTTTTTAGAATACTTACAGATTTATAGAAAAATTTAGAAGATAGAAGAGTTCCTATATATGCCACCCCTAATTTTCCCTATTATTAACTTCTTACATTAGTATGGTACATTTGCCACAATTAAAGAATCAGTATTGATATATTAATTAAATTCCATAGTTCATTCAGATTGTCTTAGTTTTTAAAAAATTGTAATTATATATATATATATAGCTTAAAAGTTACCATTTTAACCATTTAAAAATGTACAGTTCAGTGGCATTTAGTACTTTCACATTGTTGTGCACCCATTACCACCATCCATCTTTTCATCTTCCCACACCGAATCTCTGTACTTATTAAACACCAACTCCCCAGCCTCCACTCTGCTCAGCCTCTGATAACCACCATTCTGTTTTCTATTGCTATGAATTTGACTAACTAGCTACCTCATGTAAGGGGAATCATACAATATTTGTCCTTTTGTGTCTGGCTTATTTCACTTAGCGTCATGTCTTCAAAGTTCATCAATGCCAAAATTTCCTTCCTTTATAAGACTGAATAATATTCCATTGTATGTACATACCACAGTGTGTTTATTCATCTATTGATGACCAGTTAGATTGTTTCTACATTTTAGCTATTGGGAGTAGTGCTGCTATAAACATGGGTACACAAATATCTGTTTGAATCTCTGCTTTTGATTCTTTTGGGTACGTATCTCAGATTTCCTTAGTTTTCACTTAATTTTTTTTCCTTCTATGATCCCATCCATGATACAACATTATATTTGGTTTTTGTATCTCCTTAGGTTCCTCTTGGCAGTGACAGCTCTCAGATTTTCCTTATTTTTGATGATCTTGATAGTTTTGAAGAACACTGGTCAAGCATATTGTAGGATGCTCCTCTACTGGAATTTGTCTAGAGTGTTTCTCATGATTAAACTGGCATTGTAGGGTATGGAGAAGAGAACCATAGAGGTCAAGTGCCATATTCATTACATCATACTAAGGATACATACTATCAGCGTGACTTATCATTGTTGATAACTGACCTTGATCATTTGGCTGAGATAATGTTTCTCAGATTTCTCCACCACCCCTATTACTCTCACCCACCCCTATTGTCCATACTGACTCTTTGGAAGGAAGTTACTGTGAGCAGTCTACACTTAAGGAGTGTGGAGTTATGGTTCCCTCATTAAGGATGGAATATCTACATAAATTATTTGAAATTCTCCTGCCAGGAGATTTTTCTCTTCTCTCCATTTATTTATTTATTCAATCATTTTCTATGTCAGTGTGGACACATGGATATTAATTTTATACTGTGGGCTATAATCCAATGTTATTTTATTTATTTATTTTGCTCAAATGGTTCCAGCCTTGGCCGTTGCAAGGTCTTTCAGTTGGCTCCTATATCCCTTTGGCATATCTCTATTAACGTAGGGTTTTAATTAATTTATTTTTTAGCATTTCCTTATTTTCTGTCATTACAAGATGCTCCGGGTTCATCTTGTATATTTCTTGCCCCTGTCTTAGAATCAGTGATTTCTCTAAGAAAATCCTGTTTCTCTAATAAAGAGAATGGTATTAGAAACCAAAATCTGCATGCTAGGTGTGCCCGTTACTACTGTTTTGCGTGTCTCACAATTTTTTTGAAACTGGACAATTTGGTAGTATAACAACTCTAGATACTGATTCCCTCCCTTACTCCCCAGGAGTGGTGGTGGTGGTTGTTGGCTTTATCAGTTGTTTATTTATTTAGTGACTTGGCCGAACTAATCCTGTGACATCTATTTCCCGCCTAGTGTGCAGCCCCTGTTACCAATGCTTACATTTTTCCCCTTTGTTTTTGTCTTTTAGCCTGGCTACCTGAGGATCATCCCTGGGTCTGTGTTGGCATAAGCCACTTATTGGTCAAAGGTTGTACTTAGCCCCCTCAGCCAGTTAGATTTTTGCTCTCTCTATTTTTTTTATTGCAGTATAATTGCTTTACAATGGTGTGTTAGTTTCTGCTGTACAGTGCAGTGAATCAGCTGTATGTATACATATATCCCCTCCCTCTTGGACCTCCCTCCACCCCAAGCCCACCCATCTAGGTCATCACAGAGCACCGAGCTGAGCTCCCTGTGCTATCCAGCAGGTTCCCACTAGCTATCGATTTTATACATGGTGGTGTATTTATGTCCAACCTAATCTCCCAATTCATCCCACCCTCCCCTTCCCCACTGTGTCCACACGTCTGTTCTCTACAATCTGCGTTTCTGTTCCTGCCCTGCAGATACGTTCATCTGTACCATTTTCTGTGTATGGCCTCGAGGTTGCTATTACAGTTCAGGGAATTTGTGTTTATTGCCCCACGTTCAGCCAAGGGCTTGTAGCTCGGAGGTTCTTTCTCTGATTGTTCCCAAGAGGGCTCAGCCTTGGGCATGCCCATAATCTGCCAGGTCGTCAGGAGTGAGTGTAATTTCAGTTTTAAACCTAGGAGTCACCCTGGATCAGAATACCTATTGTTCACGGTTTGGTCAAGGGTGGTGTTTAAGCCCCTTGTGCCAGCAAGCCTTCCATCCTGGGATGACTGATCCCAGGAGGGCTTTTCCTGGCTGCTCTTTTCCCAGTTCTCTCTGTTAAACTTCTGGCTGCACTGCTGTTTTGCTTGTCTCCTGGAGCTATCATTCTCCTCTTAATTACTGTCTACCAAGATCTCCAGTGTTTTCAAAAACACCCTTACGTATGGAGCTCTCTACTCTCCGTTCCAAACAGTCAGCCCCCTCAGGCAGAGCTTCAGAACTCTTCATCCTTTGGGTCTGCCTCACCCCCTGGGTAGAACCCCCATGCCACCGCACCAGAGCTATACTCCAGTTCTATAAGAGGGCACTGCTTGGGAGGGCCAGTGCCAGCCCCTGGCCTTCTCAGCTTGCCCTTCCCCAAAGGGAACCTCTATGACGGAGCTGGGCAAGGGTGATCAGGGCCCCTGTACTTTTAGTGGGCTACAACTGGTGCAGGGCTTGGGAAGGGAGCTGCATCCCCTAGATCATTCCTCCTAGGAACAGAGCTTCTGTAACACTAGGTTGGGGTGGAGTGGGGGAATGAGAAATATTACTGGCAACATGCCACTCTTGGGGCGAAATCATAGCCCAGACTGTGCACTTCAGGAAGGGGAGGGCTCTGTCTTCCTAGCTGCGTATGCCCAGGGTATGGGAGTTAAAGGAGCAGGTCATGGCTGACATGCCATGGATGCCTGTTGTTCTTATGAAATTTAGTAGATTATCTTGAATGAATATTCCTCCTTTTGCTCTATGCCCTTAAGATAATTTCCAGGGACTTTTAAGTGATTTTACTTTAATTTTTGTAATTTTCTCCAGTTAAATTGTTGTTATGCTAAGGAGAGTCCACTGGAAGTCCCATCCACCCAACTTTTATATTCTTTTACACCAACCATTATGTTCCCTACCATGAATACGAGAGACAGTCTTCCACTATGTTGATGTTGCTGCTGCCACGAATTGCTCGGTGGGGAGGTGGGGTTTGAGAATCGATGAGAATGTGACAACTATAGGAGAGCTAAGGAAAGAACTGTCCCTACCATCAGTGGGGAAGGAAACAGGTTTTATTTTTTATCAGTGGCTTCTGATTGTAATTCAGGTTGATGATCATCATCCTGGCCCTCTTACTACGTTCCTTTCAGCCTTCTGGGGGTCCTGATATAGCCATCTGATGCTTCCTCAGGCATCTGAACTAATATCAGCATCAAGGAGCATCTGTTCACTGTGAGGAGAGAAAATGTGCATTAATTGCAGCAGGAGGAATTTGGGCTAAATGTGAGGAGATCGTCCCTGATCAAAAGCATTAGCCTGAGAGGTCTTTTCAAGTGTAAATCAGATCATGCCGCTCTCCTGCTTCAAGCCCTCCAACGGCTGCCCAATGAAATTAGAATAAAGTCCAATCTCTTAACCAAAACCTACACTTCATTTCACTCTCTGTCATTCACCATGCTCCAGTAACTCAGGCTTTCTTTCTGTCCTTCAAGTCCACCAGGCTTGCTCCTGTCCTAGGACCACTGCGTTCACTGGTTCCTCCGCCTGGAATCCCCTTGCTCAGATCTCCACATGGGTAACTGTGATCAACCATCTTAATGCCAAGGTCACCTTCTCAGGAGGACTTTCTGGCCCACGATATCTAAGGTAGGTTCCCCTCACTCCCACTCTTCATTGTTCGCTCTTCATTATTAACCTGCTGCCTCTCTCCCACTAGAGTGTAACTTCCAGGCGGCAAGAATCTTGATGAATCTCGATTACGCTGTCTGCTCTCTTCTAAGTACTAGAAGTGCTTGCCATCCAGTGGGAATTTAATAAATCCAAAGAATAAATGGAAGAATGAAAACATGGATGGAATGAATAGCCATAGTTTTCTTTATAGGTTTTAAAGAAATGAATAAAATACTCTCTTGATGAGGTGTCTCAGAAGAGGGGCCTAGATAAGATTCAGTGGTGAGGTCTTGTAATGTGGGGATTCACTTTACTAGTAGAAGAGTGCTTTATAGAAAGTGGCAGACTGAAGTGTTTTCCAGGGAAATAAATCCTCCAAACAGGAACAATTCAACATATATTCAGTTATTCAGTTGTTCAGAACCTGGTTTTTCGTTCCACTTTGGCCCCTGAATGAAATAATTTCATGTGCATTTGTGCCCTGTTTTGTTATAACACCCAAGGGCAGGCGCAGTAAGAGTGATAGCACCACTGTTGACCTCATATACTTGTGATTGCAATAACTTTGAATATTATGACTCATGGAAGACACAGAAACCCCCAATAATGCTGCCTTTGCCAATTTAAACAAAGCCTGGCTCCTTTCTATTTCATCAATCAAATGAATGTCCCTTTCCTTACCCCAGTGATTAAACCAACTATTTTGTTCTAAGATGTATTTTCTTTATCAATTACTGTGCTGAGAAATTCTTTCATCTTGGATTTAGAAACTAATCTTCTTATGAGAAATGCAGAAAAATGACCCTGGTTTTAACAAGTCTAGGACTTTGAAATCTGCATTACGGAAGGGTATGGAAACATGATATTTGATCAGGGGAGGTAAGGGAGAATTGTATAGGCTCTGACTAATAAATAATGAACCAGATACATCTATACATGAACTATTGTGTACCTGATCTGTTTGCTCTTTAAACTCTTAGCAAAGATTACACATAAAGAATAATTATTACATATTTCCTTTGAAATGGTGACCAAGAGTACTGAGAAATTACACAGTGCACCGAACAGGGCATAGTGGCCAGATTTTAAGTGGCCTCCCCCCACAAATCCCCAGTTCCCGAAGTAGAGATGTGAATTCTCAAGTGCCCAAATTGTTAATAACTTCAGAAGTTCACACAAGAAAACCAATATTTCAAAAATTCTTTTATCATGATAATTTTCAAACATACAAAATTATTGAAAGAATAGTACAATTATTTACCCATATACCAACCACCTAGATTGCACAATTGTTAATATTTTACGAATCATTTGGATGTAATACTTTATATTTGAATACTTCAGTACTCATCTCCTAAAAAGAAGAACACCCTTCGGTATAGTCACATTTAGGACCATGAACAGTAATTCTCTAATATCATCTAATAGTTAAATTCAAATTTCCCCAATAGTCCCTGAAATATCTTTTATGTATGTTATTTTTCAAATGAGGATTCATTCAAAGTCATGCGTTGCATTTGGTGTTTCTGGTCTCTTAATCTGGAACTGATTCCACCCCTATTTTTTTTTTTTTTTTCCATGACATCAGTTATCTTGCACAGCTTCCCACATTTTGAATTTTTCTTATTGTTCTATTGTGGTGTTATTTAACTTTTTTCCCTCTATCTCCTATATGTCTTGTAAATTGGAAGTTAGGTCAAAGGCTTAGTTCAATTCAGGTTAAACATCTATGTCAAGGGTTCTTCAAAAGTGATCCATACTGCATCACAGCAGGAGGCATGTAAGGTTAGAATATTCTACTACTAATGACGCTAACTTTTAAAGTTCTTTAACTTCAGTGTTTCTATAAGAAAACAGTTTATATTTGGACAGTAGAGAGCTCCTTTGTGCTAAAATTAAGGTGATGTGCAGCTTACAAAACAGATACAAGCAACAGTTTGCAGGGATAGTCGAAAATGATGACTCATTATCCATTATTCCATCAGTGATGGGGGAGATACAACTGGATGTCAAAGGGACTTGAGAAACAGCTGAAGTCAGGCTACCTCTCCCCAGGAAGATGAGCAAATTCCCATGTGGCCTGGATCCTGGCAATAACTTCAGGGAAGTGGACTTGGGTGCCTGGGTGACACCGGGTAAAGGGCTTAGGAAGTTGGTGTCGCTCTTCCCCTAAATTTTAGGAAAATTTCCAGGGAAATAATTAAACAGCCCAAGTGGAATTTCTGGCCCTATTACTTGTACCGCTGTTATTTCAAGTGCAACGACTTTATCCATTTGATTTAAAAAACTGGTTCCTGCTTTAAAAAGCTTTGGGGCACTAGAACAGTAAAATTGTCCAATAAAATGCTGTTGAATCAATTGACAGTACCACATTTAGAAACACAGTGTATCACAGAGCAACATAAATGCCACGACCAGTGTGAGATTCCCTGTGGCTACACAGATTTTTAAAGACAGGCTTTACACTGGATTACACATGTGTAAACCTGGGTCTGGTTGAACCAATGAAGGCAGACGGCGTGATAGAAAAGCATGTCCTTCCCCTGATTTAGATGCACAAGGTGGGGAGCTAATAGCACCCTCAAATTACTATCAAAGCTAAACTTTATCTCTTGTTTACTGGGCCCTGGGCTAAGAGACTCACATTCTGTGCCTCATTTAATTGTCACAACAAATGTATAAAGTCACTTGTTTAATGAATAAGATATGTGTGTGCGTGCGCACGTGCATGCATCCTACTACGTGCAAGGAATTTCATTTTACTGGGCTCTGGAACAAAATCAAAATCCAAAACACACAGGGCTCCTCAATTCGGGCTGACCTCAGTTCGGGCTGACCCTAAATAGTAAGGGTCTTGGATTTGTAGATAAAACCTGATGAGGGGCTACATGTCAACAAGTTATGTAACTGCTAATGCAGGCATTTCAGGTTAGGAAATCTTTCCGTTCTGACCATTACATGGACTGTGTGCTAACAGGCATTTTGGAGGTCTGTTAAAACTGGTCACAGTGTAGGCAACATACTAGCATAAGAATGGGCTCAAGGAAGCTGATGTTGTAAGAAAGGAGTGATGGAGAGAGAATCAAGAGGCAAGAGGTTTACATGAAAAGTATCTCCCATATGGATTGATCATATTTGCTGTGTTTTCTTTCACTAATAGAAACTAAACATAATAAGAAAAAAAGCCCACTTTAACAGAACACATTTATGTTTCTATTTTGGGCAGAAGGATTTTTATGAGGAGATGTAGTGGCTTATTTCAGAGAGGGGTGTTTCAACAGTAACAGGGCAAACAGGAGAGACTTCTTTTCATTTGCACAGTTTGGTTGAAAGCTTATCAAACTTATACAAGTGCAGAGACTATGAGGTGAAAACACACTTGAATTTTTTTTTTTTTTTTTTGCGGTATGCGGGCCTCTCACTGTTGTGGCCTCTCCCGTTGCGGAGCACAGGCTCTGAACGCGCAGGCTCAGCGGCCATGGCTCACGGGCTCAGCCGCTCCGCGGCATGTGGGATCTTCCCGGACCGGGGCACGAACCCGTGTACCCCGCATCGGCAGGTGGACTCTCAACCACTGCGCCACCAGGGAAGCCCTGAATTTTTTTTTAAAAGACCGAGAAAACAACAGCATCTGTCATTGTTTGGGACTTTATAGTGTTCAAATCCCTTTCAGATACTATATCAGAAATACCTTATGTGTATCTTTTCATCCTCATTGGATTCTCTCATCCTCACTCACCCCATGGCCTGGACTCTCAGCTCCGTGTTCTAAACAGCTGCCCCTCCTGAAGCTGTGGGGCTGTAGGATTTCACCACTGTGGACAACTTGCCACAGGCTTGGGGACTCTGGCTCTTCCAGACACTTTCAGACTTGGGTGAAATATCGCACTAAAGGACATAGGAGTAGGCATCCTGGGTGATTTCAAGGGGTGGAGGGATGGGGCAATCTGGAAGTATTGGACAGTAAATTCTTCAGTGGGCAAATATTCGTCAGTGTTTCATCTTTCCTTGATGGGTTGCTTTGAGGTATAGTTTCTGCATAGATATCTTGCATGGTCCTGTGAATATGCCTGTCAAATGACTGGTTGTGACCCTTTGTGGCTTCACATGAAGCACTGGTCAATGTGGTAACTCATCATCTTTCCATTCCTTCCCATTCTTCTTGTCTCGTTTCCTTTTGCCTTCACTCTGGATGCCCTGGGATTGTACCTTCCAAATAAAGCACCAGTACTTAATCCCTGCCTCAGGCGCTGTATTTTAGGAAACTGGGTCTCATACACGTATTTGTTTCCAACTCCTTCCAATACTTTGAAGTACACAAGAATGTTAGTGTTAGTCATACTTTAAAGGTGAGAAAACCGAGGCTTGGAAAGTTTAAGTGATTAGTCTGAGATTACATTCATCTATTTGTTCATTAATTCACTCATTTATTTAACAGACATTTCTCAAGCACCTTCTGTGTGCTGATGGAGTCTGAGACAGACAAGATCTCTGCCTTCACGGAACTTAAATTGTAAGTTAGAGGAGACAGATGGCACGTAAGTACCATCAATATCTGCTGAATGAATGAATTAATGAACAGATGCAAGAGTCTTATCTTTCCCAGGTTAACTACTTAGATTTTAAAAAAACATATCAAATTTCAAATTATTTCCCCCAAAAAACCTTTTTTGGGGTGCTATTGTTTTATTGTTGTCCTGTACTTCTGCTTAATCTGCCCATCGAGTAATCCAGTATTTGTTGACTACCAAATGATTAGTAGGCTCCAGGTACTTTTAGGACAATATAGGCAAGAGGGGACAACAGGTACAAAGACAACAAAGTATAAACAAAGCCTGGGTGACTTCAGAAACAGAAAAGAGGCTGGTGTGTCTCGGAAGTAAAGGGGGAGAGGGAGAGAGGTGTGGGATGAGGTCAGAGAGATGAGCAATAACAAGAGCATACAGAGTTCTGAAGAAGGCTTATGATTTATAAGGACAGTGGGAAACCACAGGAAGGTTTTAAGTGATATGATTAACATGATTGCTAAGTGGTAATTCTCAGGCCTTCTGACTCCTGGACCTAAGGACTTCTTCTACACGAAGCAGGTGTCAGAGTTGGGACTAGAAGCTAAGCTCCGAGGCTCCCAATTTCTGACAGAGTGGAGCCAGCTTCATAACGGTAGCTCAGATAGGAGGCCCTCCGACAATGCCGCAACGTGACTCCAGTGGGACCCCTTCCCCTACAGCAGATGAAAAGACAGGCTCATGGAGTCACTGCCAGCCAAACAGGACTTGACCGTTCCATCTGTAGATTGGGAATGATATAACCTTTTATTCAATAGTGAGGTGGAGGGGCAGAGACCTTCAGGTCCTTGGGAGCAGGGAGCATGTGACCTTGGGCTGCTGAGAATCAGCTGTGGTTCAAATCAGTCTGAGTAATCCAGGCATCAGACCAGCAGTGCCTGTCCTATTCATTTAATAGGTGAAAATTATGATATTGCCTTGTCTGGTGTAAGAGAACTGGGTGGTTATGTTCAGTGACAAGAGAGGTGTCAGCATGGGTTTCACACTGTTTTGAACATCATCCAGTAAAGTCACAGGCAAGATGGGTAAGTGCGGCCTGATTAGTAAAGTTTTGTTTTGTTTTTGTTAGTTTTGTGTGCAAGGATGATGGATTTTCCTACACGGGGTGCCTTTGCAAGGGATTCTGTGATCCTCAATAGATGGGTGTGGGAATGAAAATGTAGGGGTCACTGTCCTGAAGAGGATTCAGGACTTATCCATAGGTTTGAAGTCTGGCTCTCCCTTTGCCTCCCAACTTCCATTTTCTTAAGAGAGAACTCCAGCCTGGGGACACAGCTCCCCTTTTCCCTGGGATGCTTCCCTCCAGGAATTGTGGATCAGGCAGTCCTCAAGCCTTCAGTAACTCACGAACCTTGGGCCTTTGCCCCACAAGTCCCCTGTGTGGACACCCCTTAATCCCCAGCCTATTCTCTCTTCTGGCTCTGCAGCTCTCAATTCAATAGTTTGCCTTGAGGCCAGCAGAGACTGTTCCTATTAAGCTGACCACTAATTGATATTTTGATGTTATTAATGTGTATTCATCTGCTCCCTTTCTTCTCCCAAAAGGAGCGAGGGAGACAAACATTTCAGAATAGAGATGAGGGGACTGATGGGGTGATCATGTAGGTTTGGGGGAAAGGGGAGAGGAAATTGAAAACATGGTGAGCTTGATGGAGCCAAGGAGGTAGAGCAGATGCCAAGGAAAGCTGGTAAACAACAGTGTTTGTGCATCGCAGAATCACACCTGCTCCAAGTCCACTGTCTCACCAGCCTGCCCCCGTCAGCCCGGCGCGTCTTAGCAATTCCCCAGCTGTCAGCTCCCTACCTGCCCGGCTCTGGCTGCTCGGCTCAGAGCTGCTCCCCTGGGCCTCTCTCTGGCTTGTCAGTGGGCTGCGTCAGCATCACGCCACACTGTCTCCCGTTGGCCCGGTGATCAACGCCTGACGGGCCGGCCCTCTCTCCCCTCTCAGCTAGGGCCAATGGGAGTCAGGGGAAGGTTTTGGTTACAAATGAAAATAAAATAAATAAGTCATACTCCTGCACTCCAGAGTCTGGGAGAAACATCTTCATGGCCTCGTAAATCTTCCTTTTTAAATTTGTCCTTCTCCTTCCAGATGCCCCTCCCAATCCCCTGCGCACACTTGGCGGCCCCTCACGGTGCAGGGAATGCGAAATGAGAGGCTTGGGCTTAGGCTAGATGTCAGTAGCCCCCCTCCCCTGCGAACCCCCAAAGGCATTTGTGCTGTGCGTGTGTGCGTGTGTGTGTGAAGAGAGGAACCAGCCAGCCAGGATCCAGGCCAGTGACAGCTTGTCCCCTCCTCTTCTGACCTTTGCAACAAGACACCCAGCCCCCTCCCAAATCCCCCCTCACCTGGCTAAATTACCCCCAAAGCTTGTGGTTTCTTTATTTCTTTCCATTACAGGGGGCTCTGATAATTAAATGCAATACTCTATTTTAAGATTCCTAGGAGTTTTTCTAACTAGATATTAGACATTTTATTAAAGCTCGTTGACTTTGAATGTTTTGCTTAAGACTTCGTCGTCTATTTAAAGACACATCTTAAGACAGGGGATGCTATTAATCTCATACACCTGAATGTGAATAACAGTGCCCAAAAGTTGGACCTCAGAGCGTCAGGAGAAAGAGCTAGAGGTCCTGAAGTCACCAGGTGGAGACGTGTGTGAGGCACCAAGGGGTGTAAGCTGGAAAAAGCCGTAGACCCCTTTGTGGTTTGCCGAGGGGTGCCCAGGTCACGTCATAAGGAGGATTAGATGGGGTGGTGGTAGGAGGGAAGCATGGTCACAGGGGCCAAAGGATTAGAAGGGAAGGAAAGCAAGAGGGTGGCTGCTTGGGCAACCAATACTCAGGGCAGGGGAGCCTTTCCCGCCCTCCCACCCCCGCAAAGGATCAGCTTTGTCTTAAAAAGTCTTTTTAGGGCTTCCCTGGTGGCGCAGTGGTTGAGAGTCCTCCTGCCGATGCAGGGGACATGGGTTCGTGCCCCGGTCCGGGAGGATCCCACGTGCCGCGGAGCGGCTAGGCCCCGTGAGCCATGGCCGCTGAGCCTGCGCGTCCGGAGCCTGTGCTCCGCAACGGGAGAGGCCACAACAGTGAGAGGCCCGCGTACCGCAAAAAAAAAAAAAAAAAAGAAA